TGTGTTTTTGACACAAGGTTTCATTATGCAGCTCAGGCTGGCCTTGAACTCACTCTGTAGCCCAGACTGGCCTCAAACTTGCAGGAATCCTCCTGCCTCAGCCACCCCAGTGCTGGGGTTACAGGTGTGTACCACCATGCCTAGCTAGGGGTTTTATATCTGTGTAGTAAAGCAACAATATACTGTTAGGAATCTAGGCCAACTTCTAGGAAAGTCGCTTCTAAATGCACTTGTAAATAAGAGTTGTATGTTTTCAAAGTGTGCCATTAATCCACGTATTAGAGCAGCAGGAGATTATGTACAGTGTCAAGAGCAGTGCTGGATCAAGGTAGGTTAGCCTGCAAGGTCAGATAGGATAAGGAAAGGCTTCCTAAAGAAAGCAGAGAATAATCAAACAGGGTGAGAACAAGAAAAGGGCAGTCTTTGAGAAGCAGGGACGACATAAATGCAACCAGGGAAGGCTGACAAGTTCTGGGGAAAGTCAGGTATGGTGGCACATGCCTATGGTCCTGGCACTTGGGAGGCTGATGCAGGAGGAGTGCTGTGAGTTCAAGGCCAGCTGGTGCTAAATAGTGAGTTCATGGCGAGACCCTGTCTCAAAACAAAACAAAACAAAAAATGTTCTGGGGAAGAAGAAACAGTCACAGTGCCGACCTACAGGGCTAGGCTAAATGCATTTCTCCAAAATGTTGAAAAGAAGTGTATATGCAAAGCATTTAAATCATACCAGTTCTTGTTTAGATGGAGGGTACTAAACATACTTGAACAGTTTTGGGCTGGGGATATAGCTCAGCGGCACACTGCCTGCCTGGCAAGTGCAAGGTCCTGAGTTCGATTTCCAGTACCAAAAAAAACCATTTCTTCATTTTGTCTAATGTAATTATATTTCATTTTGAACTTTGTTACTCAAACCTTTTCTGCAAAAAGGTTTTTTTGGGGCTGGGGATTTAGCTCAGCGGCAAAAGCGCCTGCCTGGCAAGCGCAAGGTCATGAGTTCGGTTCCCGGTACCGGAGAAAAACCAAAAAAAAAAAAAGGTTTTTTTGTTTGTTTTTGTCTGAAGTGCTTTTCACTCGTAATAAAGGAAAATTTAAGTTCCCTTCTTATGTAGCTGGCAGCTGTTTCAGCACCATCGGGTTTATAGGAAAAGATCTGAAATACGTGATACAACACTAGTTAGACTTACAGTTAATGTAAAAAGTGTGTAAAGTATACACTTTTTTCTGGGTAGGAAACTTGCAGAATTGTCCTTTTCCTCATCCCCATTAATTAGCTAGCTATCCTCTTGCTCTAAAATCAGTACATTTCTCCTTATAAGTACAAATTAAATTTTGAGACAAGGTCTCACTGGCTTTGATCTCACATCTCTTGAGCCTCTGTCCCCTGAAGGCCGGATTACAAGAGTGTGCTGCCAAACTCAGGGCGCCATTAGCTTTTTTAAATTAATTTTACTTTTATTAGTACTTTGCAGTACAGAAAGATTCTGTTGCTCATGGGGAGGTGGCTCATGAATGTAACACATCTTTTTTTTTTTTTTTTTTTTTTTTTTTTGAGACAAGAGTCTCACTATGCAGTTCAGGCTGAACTTGAGCTCACTTTGCAGCCCAGGCTGGCCTCGAACTTGCAGCAATCCTCCTGCCTCAGCCTCCCGAGTGCTGGGATTACAGGCATACGCCACCACGCCCGGCCTATCTTTAAAAATGTTTTGAATTTTTTTCTTTGATAGATAGATAGATAGATAGATAGATAATGTATGGCACTGAGGTTTGAACTGAAGACCTGCAGATTGAGCTACATCCTCTGTCCTTTTTACTATTTTTTGATTTTGAAATAGGGTCCTGCTGAGTCACTGCCTGGGTGGGGCTCAAACGTGCAATCTTTCTGCTTCAGCCTCTCAGAGTGGTGGGACTACAGGTGTGCACCACCACACCAGGTTCAAGTTACTTTCTTAATTGTCCAAAATAGTAAGATATTGGCTATAATTTTGAAATGCTCTAATGTTAACCTACTAGCAGCCTGGACCCAGAGTTGCTCTTTCAGAACGGTCACACAATAGAGGCTGATATTTTTGGCGTACAGCAGAGTAGAACTATAACAAGGTTGTGAGCCTCAGGCAGCAGCAAAAGCTAGGGGCTCTGTAGGTGGGAAGTCAGTCTCATTCCCTGCCAGGCAGGGTACAGCTTGCCGAGCAGCTTCTTCTCCAACATAGTTAGGTGCTATTCTAAGGTGATAACTTTTTGACTTAAGTAGCTGGGAACTACTTGAGGCTACAAAGGAAAGCCTGAACTGCAAAGATTTTTATGGACAGTAGGTGTGCTCTAGTACAAGTGTTGGTTTCCTTGAGCTGTGGAGTTGATACAACTCTATCTTCCTAACAGAATTAGTTAAAAACAATGAAAGGAAAGCCAGCCCCAGTGGTGCCTGCATCTTGTCCCAGATACTCAGAAGGCTGAAGCAGGAGACCCCTCAGTCCACGAATTTGAGACCAACCCAGGAACCACAGTGACACCTTATCTCAGAAAGAAAAAGAAGAAAAAGATGAGGGGAACCCCTAGAGTAACTATATACTTAGAACTCTTACCCAAAAACAGGAATGTAGAGCAGAGTTCCAAGATACTTTTTGTATCTTCAGGAACTACAAAGACCACAAACATAATCCAGGGCACTCTAGATACAATACAGATGGAAACTTAATAGAAGATGGAAGAGCAATGAGGAACCTCAGCAGCTGACTTCTAAATATAAGAAAAAAAAGTAGTTGCAGGAATAGTGGGAGAGGAAATTATTTCAAGATTTCCCTGTACTGTCTATGCATTTAAAATAGGAAACAAGCTGGGCCTGGTGAAACATACCTGTAATCCCAGTACTCTGGAGGCTGAAGCAGGACTGTGGGTTTGAGGACAGCTGGATTAAAAAGGAGCTCAAGGCCAGCCTGGACTACATAGGAAGACCCTGTCTCCCAAACAAAAAAAAAAAAAGAAAGAAAGAAAAGAAAAACAAACAGAAACAGAAAGCTGGGCACAGTGGTACACACCTGTAATCCCAGTTACTCAGAAGGCAGGAGGAGTAACCAGGGTAACTGGTTACTCAGTAGGCCTCCAGGGTAACTAAAGAGACACAGTCATAAGGAAGAAAAAGAGAGAGGGGCCGGGGGTATAGCTCAGTGGCTTAAGTGCTTGCCTGGCAAACGTGAGGTCATGAGTTTCATTCCCGGTACCAAAAAAAAAAAAAAAAAAGAAAGAAAGGAAGAGAGCGAAAGACAGAGACAGAGAGAAAAGAAAAGAAAAGAAAAGAAAAAGAAGAATTAAAAGTGCTCCCAGGGTTCAGTCTCCAGTACTACCAAAAAGAAAATGGGGCTGGATATAGTTCCTCCTTTAAAAATATATAAAACACACATGTGTCTGCAATGCTAGCAGTCTGGGAGGCTAAGTCAGGAGGACTGCAAGTTTGAGCCCAGACTGATCAACTCACTCACTTGGTCAGACACTGTTTTAAATAAAAAATCAAAACAGGGCTGGGAAGTAGCTCAGTCTAGGATGCCTTGGTTTCATTCCCCTAGGACAGCAAAAATCAATCAATCTATCAACGAATCAATCAATCACTCACTCAAGTCAAGCAATAAACTAGGAGTGGTAGTACATGCCTATAGTCCCAGTTACTTGGAAGGCTGAGGCTGAGGCAGAAGGATCACAAGTTTGAGGCTAGCATGGGAAAATTAGCAAAACCCATCACAAAATAAAAAGTGGATGTAACTCAGGGATACAGTGGTCACTAGCATGTGCGAGACCTTGGGCTCAATCCCCAGTACTGCAAAAATAAATAAATTGAAAAATAAAAAAAAAGAATAAGTATTGCAAGAATACCTCTTGACACAGCTGGGAGTGGTGGCATATGCCTATAATCTCATCACTCAGGAGGCTAAGGCAGGAGGATCACCGCGAGTTGGAGGCTAGCCTAAACTACATAGCAAGACCCTGTCTCAAACAAACAAACAAAAAAACAAAAAAAAAAAAAAAGAAAGAAAGAAAAACTACCTCTTGCTACAGAATGCAATTTTTAGTTTAATTTTTAATTTAATGCAATTAAATTACTTAAAACTAAGAGAATAACATTATAGTTAATCAAAATTCAAATATCCCTAATTTGCATATGCAGGGCACTAATAAACACTGGTCAGCTGTTAATTAAATTTCATTACATTAAATAAACATTTGTAGGTAGAGGCAGTGGCCTTATGTTAAGAATTTTTCCCTAGTCTGCACAATAGGAGACTAAACAGAAAGGTGGTATCAGTCTCTCTCCAGAAAATTATTAAGGGACAAGTACTTTAAATCAAACAAGGAACCTATAGGCTGGTTTCAACACATTTCCCCTCACATATGTCTCCCATTTGGGTTCTGGGTCTTTTCTGGCCTTGCTGTGTCAGTGGACAATTTAGGAAGCTCACCCTGGCTTTGAAAATGGAAGTTGGGTTTTCCTCCTTTACAGTCAACACCATCCCTCTGAGGGAGGACAATGCCACCGCCCCAAAGAAAGCTCTGTGTCTCACTGAAGTATTTCCTGTAAAAATGGGACCCTTGATGGAATTTCTTTTCTAACATGGAAGAAGGATTAAAAAGATAACTCAAAACAAAACCGTGCTAACCAGCTAAGGCCCTCCTTCAGCAATAAGTCTGAAAAGAGAAGACAGGCCACCAATGTCCTCCAGAGGGACCTAAGGAACGAGCAACACAACAAGTGTGACAAATCAGAGCCTCCCTTACACCAATCATCTTTCCTTAGCAAGTTCCAGAGATCGTAGGCTGTGGCTCTTGATTTAAGGAAAAAAGGCTGCCCCAAGTCACCATCTCAGTGACCCTCAAGACTGGCCTCACCAGAATTTAGCTCAGGGGCACAGTGCCTGCCTGGCAAGCGCAAGGTCATGAGTTCGATTCCTGATACCGGAAGAAAAACAAAACAAAAACAAAAACAAAAAAAAGACTGGCCTCACCCCCATACCCACCTCATCATCACTGTCCGAGGTCTCCGAGTCTGATGAGGCCGCAGGCTGACTCACGGGTGGCTCCTTCTCCTCAGAGTCACTGCGCTTCCGTTTTGCCAGGGACAGCAGCTCCTGATGGGGTAAAAATAGTAACATGAGCTTTGTTCAACAGAGAATAATAAAGTGTCCACCCTCCCTTGACCTTTTCTCCATCTTCATACTTTCAGCTGAAAGACACCGTCACTAACAGACTGAATGCCAGTGTTCCTGGGTGCTAAAAATCTATTTCAGGGCTCAATGTGGTGGTTTGTGCCTACTATCCCAGATTAAGGCAGAGATTCACAAATTCAGGCCAGTCTGGCCCATTTAGCAAGATCCTGACTCAAAATTTTAAAACTAAAATGCATAGGGATATATCCCAGTGCTCTCCCAGTTCAATCCCAAGTACTGCTAAAAAGAAAGTTTCACAAATCTGCCTCTTGCGTCTGCATCTGGCTGGGGTGTCTTATACCCATAATCCAGGCTACTGGGGCACTCAGGCAGGAGGACTGCAAGTTTGTGGCCACCCAGGGCAAGTTTGTGGCCACCCAGGGCAACTTATCAAGACTCTTTCAAAATAAAAAAGGCTAGGGCAGAGTGGAAGTGGCAGAGTTCTTGCCTAGCATGAGTGAGGCCCTGGGTTCAATCCTCAATACACCAAAAACAAAACTGCACTAAAGGGAGGTTACTCCCAAACTGTCACTGACTCTAAACTACAGAAGTATTGACTCTCAGGACTGCTGAGAACCATGCTTATGACAGTTAATTTGCTCACTGTTTTAACTGGGATATATAACTAATACCCCAAGGGTCTCTTACATTGTATTTCTTGGTAATTAGTTATTTCTGGGCTGTTCTGAAGAAGCTCACACACTGTAAGTTTCTATGGGCAGGTATGGTGGTGCACACCTATAATCCCATCACCTCGGAGGCTGAGGCAGGAGAGGATTGCCATGAGTTTCACGCCAGCCTGGGCTACACAGTGAGTTCAAGGCCAGCCTGAACTGCATAGTGAGACCCTGTCTCAAAACAAACAAATTAATTAACTAACTATAAGATTGTAAGGTAATTTCATATTTTTAATGCTTAAGTCCGGAAAAAATTTGGTCTATTTCTAGTGTTTGACACATGTTGAGAAGATCTACTACAAGAAGCAGGAGATGCACTGGCCATTATATCCGCATACTAATTTGACAGCCCAACACTCCTTTCCCCAACCTCTGTCTCTCCCAGTGGTTTAAATGAGAGTAGAGGGGAAGGAAACGTGACAGTGAAGGAGTCGTGACTACCACAGGGTCCAACAAGAGTCTCTGTCCCCTATTTCTCCATACTCAGTCTAGTGACTCAAAACTGCAACAGCTGAGCATGGTGGGGCACACCTGTAATCCCAGTACTCAGGAGGCTGAGGCAGGAGGATTGCCATGAGTTCAAGGCCAGCCTGGGCTACAGAGCAAGACACTGTCTCAAATCAAAAAACAAACAGAAAACTGCAACAAAAGGCTATTTCCTCGGCTCTCTGCTGACACCGATACTGGCCTGCAACTGCACTGTTCTCACTAGCTGCCAAGCACTTTTCTCAGCACCTGACATTTACTCTTCCAAGCAGCCCACAGTAAGTACCCTCATCACTGCCATCTACAGAGATGTCAGAGCCTGGGGGAGGCTGGGACCGGCCTAGGAACACAGCTCACACAGGAGAGAGCCAGGATCTGTACCTGGGCCGGTGGAATCCTGCCTCCTAATCCAGTCATACCTTGCTAGTCTAAAACAGTTTCCCCTTGTGCCAGGAGAGTATAGCTAATAAATACTAGCAGTATCCCTTGATAACGGTGGTGCTAAGCAATTATAGGTCAAGTGACAAAATGGATTGTACAATAATAGATTGTTACAATGTATCTGTTTTCTTCTCCAGTCTCTATTTCAGGAACACCCTCCTTCCTCGGCCTCAATGAGAAAATGACCTTCTCGTATTAAGCAGCTGGCACCCTTCTTCATGAGCAGCCATGAAATGCTACTCTTCCCCTTGCACTGGAAAGCGAGCACATCAGCTTGCTGGAAACACAAGAACACCCTCCGTCACGTCAGAACAGTAATTTCTGTAGACTGAATGGGAATTATAGCAATAATGTCTTTCTAGCTTTTAAAAACTTTAACTACAATTTCCACACACAGTATATCCCATCACTTCTAAGGGATAGTTCTGAGTTTGACAAATACACAGTTTAACTTCTACAGATGCAGAACAGTTCCACACCATCCCCTGGATTCCTCCATTCTCCTTATGCCCCTCTCTTCCCCCGCTGGCAACCACCACCCTACTTCCTGTCCCTGTAGATCCACCTATCGTAGACTGAGATGGAATCACAGTTTGTAGCCTTTTGGGTCTGGCTTCTTCATTCCCCATAATGCATTTGAGATTAATCCACACTGTAGCATGTGTTAGCTTGTCCAGCTTTATTGCTCAGTAGTATCACACTGTATGGATGTATCATAGCGTTTATCCTCTTACTAGCTGGTAAAAATTTTGGTTGTTTCCATCTTGGGGCGATTCTGTGTTCATAAACTATTGATTTTATCTATTCTTTAGTGACAGGGTCTCACTATGAAGTTCAACTTGGCCTCCCACTCACAGCAACCCTCCTGCCTCAACCTCTCATGTGCTCCAATGACAGGTGCATGACACCAGGACTGGCCATAAACAGGTTTTCATGTAAATATAATTTTTTCTTTCACCTTGGTAAATACCTAGGGATTGCTGGCGTGTATGGTATTTTGTGAATGGTTTTTACTATTACCTTTTCTCCCAGGTTACCTTAGTGTAAATTTACCAACTTGAGGAAGACTGTTGGCAAGCCGTCTCTTCCCTGACTGCTCTAGGCTCACAAATGCTTTAGAATCCGTTGTAGGAGCTCCAGCGGCACAATCAGTTAGCACACGGTACTTACACAGGATCCACTGTAATACCAACTTGTTACAACAGAAACCTAGACATTCCCTTAACAGTGGCCTAAACACGGCTTGTCCCCCGGAACTCATCCAGCAGTCTCATTTAATGATATAAAAAAAGTGGTCTGGCAAGTGACACACACCTGTAAACCCAGCACAGGAGGATCACAAGTTAAGAGTCCCAGAAGCCGGGGGTGCAGCTCAGTGGTGCAGCACCTGCCTGGCAAGTTCGAGGGCCTATCTGCAGTAGGGTAAGTAAGGGGAGGTCGGGGGAAGAACTTGCAGAGGGAAGGGGAGTGCAGTGCTCTGGACAGAGTCCTCCAAATAGGATGGCAAAAGCCCTGCGGCTGGCAACAGTGTGGCCCAAGGCACTGGAAGGGCAGCAGCGTGACTGGAGCTTGGCGGGAAGTGAGAACCATACCATTCTGAGGCTCACCAGCAGGGCTGTGCATGGGCTCTGTATGAAGGGAGTGGGAAGCCATCAGATGGTCTCAAGCAGCAGTGTTTCAAAGAGTACTCTGAAGCCATGTGTAGTGGCACACACCTGTATTCCCAGCACTCAAGAGGCTGAGGCAGGAAGATCACTGTGAATTCAAGGCCAGCCTGGGCTCCATAGTGAGTTCAAGGACAGTCTGGAATACACTGCAAGAACCTGTCTCAAAAAAAAAAAAAAAAGAGCACTCTGGCTAGTAGAGGAAAAGATGGACTGGTGGGGGGATGTAGGTCAAGGTTAAGTAGCCCTAGGCACAAGGTACAATGAGAAGTCTTGAGAGGTGTTAAGGAAAGTCTGGTAAGTGAAGTTTTCTTGTTTTTTTTGCAGTACTGGGGCTTGAACCCAGGACCTTGTGCATATCAGGAAAGCACTCTAGTGCTGATATACATTCCCAGCCCTTTTTATTCTTTAATTAACATGACAGTAACCCTTTATATTTTTGAGACACAGTCTCAGTAAATTACCCAGGCTGTCCTCCAAGTTGTGAACTTCCTGCCTTAGCCTCAAGCACAGTACATGGGATTACAGGCACACACCATTGTGCTCAGCTCATGAGTTTTGAATTTGAGATGTTCATTTACATTCTTCCTTTCACATAATAATTATTGGTGGAAAAATATGTTCCAACAATGGACACTGGTTAATTTTAAAGGGTAAAGAGGACTATTATGTGTACTTAGAGTCTGCCAAAAAATATGTATATACACTTCAGCAGTTCACCATACTGATAAATATCTGGAAGCTAATGGCCACCACAGTGAGCACCTCTTGTAATTATAGAGGCCAAAAGTAACCTGTATTAATCTAATGATATCTCAACATATTTAGTATTAAAATATTTATGTAAGCTTTTCTTTACTTGTGTATACATTTTTTTGGCTGACTATATTTGTGGCAGAAGGAGGTATTTCTGTATTGTTAGAACTGCTTTAATAAGCATGTACTATTTTTAATAGTAATAAGAATAAAGTAATACTGGTCATGGTGGCTGGCACATGTCTACAATCTCACCTATTCAGAAGGCTGAGGCAGGAAGAACACAAGTTTGAGGCCATCATGAGCAACCTAGCAAAATCTATTTCAAAATAAGATTTAAAAAGAACTGGAGAGATAGTTCAGTGATAGAAGGCTTGCCTAGCATGTATAAAAGCCTGGGTTTAATCTCTAGTGCTGGCAAAAAAGACAGAAAAAAAAATCAAAATAATAATTCTCCTGAACGAAAATACTTGTGAAGTAGTAACTCTAAAGTAGCAGCACAATGGCCGGGCGTGGTGGTGCACACCTGTAATCCCAGCACTCAGGAGGCAGAGGCAGGAGGATCGTTGCGAGTTCAAGATCAGCCTGGGCTACAAAGTGAGCTCAAGGCCAGCCTGAACTGCACAGCAGGACCCTATCTCAAAATGACAAAAAAAATAATAAATAAACAAATTTCTCATGATTGACACTAACTTTGGCAACTTTCCCCTCAAATTTCCAGCAAAGTAATTGTAACTACAGATTAAAATACTCAATTACAGAAATGCCCACAATGCTGCAAAACTGATAAAAGATGGATTTTTAATTATTTTTTAAGATAAGATCTCACTATGTGACCCAGGCTGACCTCAAACCCACAGTCCTCCTGCTTCAGCCTAAGTAGCTGGGACCAGCAGTG